ACACACACACACACACACACACACACACACACACACACACACACACACACGACTCAGTCTTCCCCGTGACTTCCAAGTTCCCTTTCCTACCTCTTTCCCCCTTGCTCCCTCAGCTCCAGCCACCCCAGCCTCCTTTCTGTTCCTCAAATGTACCAGGCACATTCCCACCTCACGCCAACTCCACAGCCTCAGCTCCACTACCCCCTGGGGATGCAATCCCTGGCCACCCCCATGCACGTAGACTGCTAATCACCCTCCTGTATGCCAACCTGAAATTACCTGGGTCATTTTTGCCTGCTCCAGGAGGACAGGGATTTTTTGTCCGAATTCCAGTCCCTGACAGGTAGTTGATGCTCAGGTACCTACAGAATGAATGAAGCATTCTTAAACCTCTCCCTGCAAGCAATCTGCGTCCCCCCCCCCCACATGCATGGATGTGGAAACTGAGACACAGGATGAGGAGCTGTCCCAAAGGACACGGCTCCCAGCAAATAGCACAAATAGGGGACTGATTGCCATGGCCCCTGCCTCTAGCAGCCTAGTAAGAAAGGGAAGGGCCGGAAGCTGGAGGGAGCGCCTGGTCCCCAGCCTGGATTATTTCCCACACTGCTTTCCAACAAGTTCAGAGTCCGGCTCTGTGCACCTTTGCTGATTCCATAGCCTGTGGCCAGACAGGAAGCCAGAGGAGGCCAAGTTCCTGCCTCTGCCAGCCCAGGCTGGAGGACCTTGAATGACTTCACCTTTCTGAGCCTCAGTTTCCTCACTTGTTAGGACTGCAGAAAGGTTCAGTGAACTGATATAAGGGGAAAACAGATGATAAACTCTGGAAGAGAAATTCAAAAATATTATCTACTGTGAGTTGAGGTTTTCACAACCTCTTCTACAAAATGAAACATAAACATTCATCCCACTGGGAAAGGCTAAATCAAAGAATTCTAAAGAGTTATTTTGCAAAATGTTTGATAGGTATTGCGTATTCAGGGAAGAAGCTGTCAAAAGGACAAATAATTAGCCTCAGGTCTCCAAGGGGACAGCTGGCACCAGAACCAGGCCTCTGGGGAAACGGAGGCATGGATGGCATGTTGGCACTCATTTAAGGAAAGAAGCCCAAACCACAAGTCCTAGGGTTGAGTCCAGATGCCCTGAATGTTCCCCAGCAGTGGGCGTAGGGGAGAGGGTGTGGCAGGCACAGGCTGAAAAACATGTGCAGAGAGCCCCTGTCCTGCGCTGCCCCAGTTGGGGCTACAAGGTCACCAGAACCTGCATCCCGGGTTGACACAGACCCTTGCCCTTGCAGGGACTGGCAATCCAGGTGTGGCCCCGCTCCTAGTTGCCCTCTGTCCTTTTGTGTGTTGTGTGCGGGAGCTTCTGAGTTCCTTAAAGGACAGCCAGAGCCCCAGATGGACAGGTCAACCACAAGAGGGACGCCAACTGGAGGGCTGTCCGCTGAGCTCTCCCCAGGGGCCCACGTCCTTTATGGGGATGGGGGTCATCAGCTCAGTTCGCCGGGCAGCCAGGGAATTATCACCGGAGCGGAATCTCAAGTGGCAAGATCCGCAGCAGGGCACCCGAGGCCCACCGCGGCTGGCCACGGCCCCGCGTCCCCTCGCTGGTCTCCTGCAGGGGTCCCTGCCAGGCCGGCCTTACCTCGCTGCGCAGGCCTAGGGCGGTGGCGGGACGGGAGGAGCGGGGCCGGGA